TCAATGAAAGGAACCCGAAGTGTCCTCGGTGTTGACTTCCATGGGCTTAAGCGTCATCTCGGAATTGCACCGGAGGACATCTAGTAGGATTGAGCTGAGCCCTTCATCTACTGCAGGGAAATAGCAGCAATTAGATTTTCTGGCGAACAACAGAAATTTGTGGGGGAACAACAACAAAAGGACCAAACCATATCAGTCCCTTTCCTTAAATATTCTGGAGCCTCTATGCGAAGTTCTAATATCCAACTATCGCGCATGAACTTTTGGCCCCGGATAACGGACGTCAAAACCCGAGTTGCTACTCGGCTTCTGGCGCACTTAACAACCTTCACATCCACAAGGAAGGGGTGGCTAAACGGATGCCCAGCACAAAAGAATGGGGTATTGTGAAGAGTCCACTAAACATTAGAGCCATGGAAAACCCTCCAAGAGATGCATACAGTGGGTAGTGATGCCGTTTTTAATAAGCATCGAAAAACAACTGTCAGAATGCATGAGAAATTGAATACCTCTACCGGCTAGCAGCTGTTGATTAATGAGCAATATTCTAAATTCGGGTTATCATATACTGAGGCTATTATCTGCATAGCCAATGCCAGTTTCCCAGAGGCCGCCAAAACTGTGCATCATTCATAAGAATCGATGACGCAACGAGTATGATGAGAACAGCTAACAAATGCCTCGGAAATATTAGGCGGCTGTGAAAGGCTGCTAGGAACATAAACCGGTGTACATTAAGTTGTCCTTGGAACTTTTTTGATGGATTCTATTTAGTTGGTCTGGGAAATATTGTAGAATTTACTACTGTGTGAATGCCCGTGTCAATGGATCTGAGGCGCTCGACTCCATAATCGTCTCTAGTGATGAAGACCGAATCGAAAATGTTCAAAAATAAATTCCGTGTTTTGACCGACTGTGTTGAGTCAAATACTGAACTGATGTCTTCTTCAGCATCCTCAGGTCGATTGCGTTGTCGCATAAGGCATAGTAGCTGAACTAGTAAGGCGGCCAAACAGATTGTTTCCACATGACCTCGGCCATCATTCTTGGGAGGCCTAAAACATCTCGATTGTTCTTATGTAAAACCCGCTTTTACTAGTCTTCTACATCCATGTCTCAGTAGTTTTTGATCTAAACTAGCACTGCCGGATAAAATGCACAAACAAGTTAAGAAAGGGCAACTAAAATGCCAAGAGTGAATGTTATCTATCACTAAAGAAACTACTGACACGTGCCAACCAATTACAAAACCAACCGCAGAATAACCATAGGAGCTACTCTCGCGCAAGTGAAACATTATCACGCGTGCTAAGACCATGAATGGCATTAGCCTCTTGGAGTTGGGCAAAGTCACAAAGCGTAATCGCCACAGGTGATAACGGAACCAGTATACGGAACTCACCTCCGCATATGTAAGTTACAAGACGCAATGGTTGAGGAGCTGCTGCATTGGCGGCCGGCGTCTCGCCTCCATGCTTGGAATCGTAGGCAGTCGACATGGTCAGATGGGCTCTCACA